TGCCCCTGAGGTGGTCTTATCAAACTGGTGAGCTAGGCAATTCCAAGGGCAGTCACCCCTGGAGTCGCCGGCTGCGGGAAGGAAACCAAGCGGTAGATAACACCAGTCGATGATGAGGGGGAGGGATATGATCATAACCTCGAAGAAGAGAGATGTGGTTCCTCCTCCTCTTGTCGCTGGTGCCGATGGCGAGCTCGTGCGGTTCCTCCTCCTCCTCCTGCTCCTCCTCCTCCTCCTCCTCCTCGTGCTCCCGCTCCTGCCCCTGTCGCTGCTGCTCTTGCCGTTGCTGCTCCTCCTCCTCTTCCTCCTCCTCCTCCTCCTCCTCTTCCTCCTCCTCCTCCTCTTCCTCCATTTCCTCCTCATCCTCCTCACCTCATCCTTCATTCCTCACCCATCCTCCTCCCATTCTTCGTTGTTCCCCAACATTATAAAGATAGGAAGGGACATCTTCTTGCAACGTTGGACAGACTTTAAGCTGAAATGCTTCTCCTCCGCCTCCTCCTCCGCCTCTTCGCAGGCTCGTGGATGCGGGCATTGACACCTCAGGGAATCGCAGCCTTCGCCCCCCCTCCCCCCTCCCCCCCTCCTCGCCCCCCACCCCCGCAGACTCCGGCCGCTGGGCGGATGGGGGGGGGGGGGGAGGGTGGAAACACGTGCAGCACGTGAGTACGAGGATGCGCCAGAGCACCCTCTATGGGGGAGGGGCGCAGAGCCTGCTCCTTTGTCTTCTTCTCCTCCTCCTCCTCCTCCGCCTTCTCCTCCTCCTCCTCCAATCCTCCTCCAATCCTCCTCCAATCCTCCAATCGTCCAATCTTCCAATCCTCCAATTCTCCAATCCTCCCATCCTCCAATCCTCCCATCCTCCAATCCTCCAATCCTCCAATCCTCCAATCCTCCAATCCTCCTCCTCCTCCTCCTCCTCCTGCTCCCCCCCCCTGGAGGGAACAAAATATACTTGATACTTGCTACCTTTTGCGCCGGACTGCAGCACCTTCAGCTCTCACGAGTACTGCCACAAGGCAGCAATGTGGCTATCTGTCCTGCACGCGCTCTCTCCATCGTATCCCTGGGGGAAGCAGGAGAGGAGGTACACCACGCGAAATGGTTAAGAAATCATGGGTTAAGAAATTCATGGTCTCAGAACTTGAACAAAAACCCAACATTTCTATCAAAATCTTGGGGTTTACATTGAAACGTCAAGAATAATCGAGACTCTGGCCGAAAACTTAAGTTTCCTTAAGCATCGCCTGAGGTGTAGAGGTGGAACGACGGAACGCCCGGGCCTGCGACGAGAGCTCCACGGTCGGGAGCTTCTGCTCGGCGTGTCGCGGCGGCGGCCCCGGCGAAAAACGCTGTGCCTGGATTGCGTGTCGCTCCGCCCCGCGGGCCGGGATGCTCGGAAAGGCTCGAGGCACTGGCGCTTGGGGTCTGGGCCGCGGATGGCGTGTCGCGCCGAACCGCGGTGGGCCAGAACAGACGGAACGACGCGCGGACCAACACGTTCCCAACCGTGTCCCTGGAGGGAGCAGGGGAGGAGGGAGAGGACGGGGAACGACGGAACGGTGGGAAGACTGTGGTGACGGTTTCGAAGGTGCAGGGGCCTATGGGGAACGTCAGTGGATCAACACGAGTTCAAGGATTCCAGATGTTGTTGGTTATTTTTGGAATATGTGGATTTCTCTCCATGTCCAATCTTTTCCAACATGTTCACAGAAATCCGCATTAACTTATGCTTGTGTCTATTTTTCCCTTCTGAATAAGAAGAGGGGGGGAACGGAGCGGTGGGAAGCTGAGTGGCTGGTGCTGCGGCGGTGCGGCCAGCGCCGACGGTGACCTCCCCCACCGTCCCCCCCCCCCTCGGCCTGTTTGGTCGTGGCTGCGGTGGCTGCAGCGGTGGCCGAACGTGCGACGAGGCAGGCAAGAGTGAGTGAGGCACGTCGTGCGCCGTCGTGCTCGTGGTGCCCGTCGTTGCCTGTCGTCGTCGTCGTCGGCGTCGTCGTCTTCGTCGTCGGCGTCGTCGTCGTCTTCGTCGTCGTCGTCTTCGAGAGCGAGAGGCCGGAAGGGGGGACGCGTGTGGCGGCTGTGGCCAAGCTTGCGGCGGCACGCTGTCGCCCGCGGCTCCCCGCTCCGCCCGCCCGCGGCCCAGCGCGCGCGCGGACGGGGGGGCAAGAGGCCGGAGGTCGGGGCGAGCCGCCACGCACGAGCTGCTTGCTCCTCCTCCCCCTCCTCGCCCCCTGCCAGACCCTCCTCCTTCAGAAGAGGCGGCGCATTTTTTTTTTTTTTTTTTTTATTATTTGCTATGTTATGTTTTTTTTTCTCTCGGGAAGGAGGAGGAGGAGGAGAGCGCGATTCCAGATTGCACCCGCCCCACGCGTGACTGCTGGCCTGGACCGTGGAAGTGAAGAGACAGGCAGATCGAAGAAAAAAAGAGGAGTAATCTTAATACGAATAGCAATAATAGTAGTTATCCCAGAGCGACCCTACCTAGGAGTTGGAGCCCCGAGGAGAGCAATATTAGTAGTAACGGTAAATGCCGTCCTCCTCCTTCTCCTCATCGTCGCAGTTGTAGCAGTAGCGGTAGTACGAGTAGTGATACTACAGCTTAATACCTACATATACATCTAGACCTACATCCACCTACACCTACAGCTACATCTACATGTACACATGCACCTACATCTACATCTACATCTACATCTACATCTACATCTACATCTACATCTACATCTACAACTACACTCACATCTACATCTACATCTACACCTACATCTACACCTCCATGTACATCTACATCTACATCTACACCTACATCCACATCTACACCTACAGCAGGCTGTTCAGCACTGCTCGCGGCTCCTGCAAGTGCTGCAGGCTGTTCAGCACTGCTTGCACTAGGTTCAACACTGCTCGCGGCTCCTGCAAGAGCTGCAGGCTGTTCAGCACTGCTTGCGGGGGCTCCGGTCCGGCCATCGAGGCTAGCTCGGCACCTGTCGCACATTGCTTTTGCTTTGCCTTTCCTTTGCTTTGCTTTTGCTTTTGCTTTGCTTTGCTTTGCGTTGCTTGTGCTTTGCTTTGCTGTTGCAGCTGTTGCTTTGCCTTTGCTTTGATGCTATGCCATGCTATGCTGCGCTATGCTATGCTATGCTATGCTGCGCTATGCTGCGCTATGCTATGCTATGCTATGCTATGCTAGGGTATGCTAGGCTGCGCTATATTATGCTAGGCTATGCTATGCTATGCTATGCTGCGCTATGCTATGCTATGCTATGCTATGCTGCGCTATGCTATGCTATGCTATGCTGCGCTATGCTATGCTATGCTATGCTATGTTATGCTATGCTGCGTTATGCTATGCTATGCTATGCTATGCTATGCTATGCTATGCTATGCTATGCTGCGCTATACTATGCTATGCTATGCTATGCTATGCTGCGCTATACTATGCTATGCTATGCTATGCTGCGCGGTGCTATGCTGCGTTATGCTATGCTATGCTATGCTATGCTGCGCTATGCTATGCTGCGCTATGCTATGCTATGCTATGATATGCTATGCTATGCTAATGCTGCGCTAAGCCGAACTAAGCTAAGCTAAGCTAGGCTAGGCTAGGCTAAGCTAAGCTAGGCTAAGCTAAGCTAAGTTAAGCTAGGCTAAGCTAAGATGAGATAAACAACGCTAAGCTAAGGGGACGTAACTGAGGGAACCGCGGGGCGGATACTGGGGGAACCGCCCGGGCCGGTTCCCACTGCCCGGTCCTTTAAGCCAAGAGAGTAAGAACCCTTCTAGGCAGAGCCAAGGTAGGGAATAATAATACCATTGATACCAAGAAAAGGAATCAGACAAATAAGAAGAGGCGTGGTGTAGTGTCGAGGAGCTGAGCGGAGGGAATTCAACCGCAATGGCATGGCGGTGGAGTGGATAGGCCTGGAGGGACAGAAAGGTTGGTGAAGAAGCGACTGCTCATTCGCATCCACGCAACCATGTTGTAATCAGGTCGGAGGATACTGACATCGAGGTAAGGCTGGTATCACAGTCGCTTCTTTGGTATCGGCCCACCCATCTTGGAAGTATGTCGCACGGCATATGAGATCGTAACATGGACGGTGTCGCCGTCGTTCCTCTAAAGTTGAAGTAGACAGGGTATTGGTTTCATCCCTGCAGTACCACTGTAAACACCTGCATAGCCATGTGGAAATCAGTGATGCAGGCAGCTGAGATGCAGACGTCGAAATAGAACGGGCTGGCGATTTCGCTGATTTAAGGGTAGAGGGACCCCGCTGCCTGCAGCCCAGGTCGTGGGAGCAGACGTGGGAGTGGCACCGGGAGCAACACTGGTGGGACTGGACGCACATGTATGAAGGGGCCTTGGGACACACAAATAAATACACACAAATAAAAATATTCCCAATATTTTCCAATATTTTCTGGGTTTTTGTCTTCCCCCCACTTCCCCTATTTTCCCATATTTTCCGGGAATCGACGATTAATTATGTCTGTGTTTTTTCCCCTCCTGAAAACACCCGACGTCGCGATTCTTTCACAACGTCGACCCCCAGAGGTCTGGACCCATCCCTGGGACCGGTTTTTCATCCTGGATCGTTTGCTGCCGCTCCCGAGGCCCGCAAAGGGCCCCCAGAGGCCGAAAACGGCGAGAAACCTCCCGTCGCGATTTTTTTTGTTCCCACGCGAGGGGGTCTGGGACTGCCGAGGTACCTGGGAAAGGCTGCCCCGCGCCACAGGCCTGCCAGGCTGCACTGGTGGCGTGGGGTCGGATGTGGCCCGCGCCCGCCTCCCACACTCAGCGCCCCTCGAGCGGGGACTCCACTGGCGGGTGCTTTGACCAGTGTCCCGACGTACCCCATCCTCTCTGGTGTGGGCAGCGCTGCAAGGCCAGAAGGATGAAGGGGCCCCAGAACACACAAATAAATACACACTAATAAACATATTCCCATATTTTCCCATATTTTCGGGGTTGTCGTCTTCCCCCCCCACTTCCCACATTTTCCCATCTTTTCTGGGGAATCAACGATTAGTTGTGTCTGTGTTTTTTTTTCCCCCTCCTGAGAGGAGGCCCCAGAGTGGCAACGTTTGTGGCAATTTTCCAGAAGAGTATCCTGGTACCCGTTCATGGGCACCCGTTGCGGTGCCGCTGACACGCCACGACGTGCCGCGTGCCGGCATGGAAGCGCTGGGCGCGCTGGCCGCTCGCCGCGGGGCGCTCGGGCGGACACCCGCCCGCATCGGCCCGCCCTCTCTCTCGCTCTCTCGCGCTCCGTCGCGTCCTCTCCCGCCCTCTCTCGTGTTCCTCGTGCCCACGTCCTGCAGTGGGGCTTGACTGGAGAGGGCACGCGAGAGGACACAAGACCCGTTCGAGGGCCACATCGCCGTAGGAGTGTAGACAGCGTGGGTCGCGAAGCACAGGACACAAGGGTACCCTTCATCTGGCAGGGTCGACCTACTAATTTGGGCCGGCTGTAACTGGGGTTCTTGGTTTCTCAGCACACCCCCCGCGCGAGAGAGAGAGAGAGAGACAGAGAACCTCCTCCATCATTGTCATCATGGGCGTCATCATGACTGTCACCATCCCATCGTGACCATCCACCACCATCATCATCACCGGTGACCATCCACCATCATGATCAGTATCACCATCCCATCATGACCATCCAGCATCATCAGCACTATCACATCTTCACCATCTTCACCACTATCACCATCCCATCATGACTATCCACCATCCACCATCATCATCAATATCACCATCCCATCATGACCATCCACCTTCATGACCTCGTCGGTGAGTGAATTGTGAGGAAGTCTCGAGCGCAAGCCCCCTCCCCATGGGGCGCGCAGATCATGTTGGTATTCCGAGGCGGCCATCGGAATAACATGAAACAGCAGCAAGGTTCGGTGAAACCCAGAGACAGTCTCCAGAAGCGTCGCTCTCGAGCAAAACCCTAAACCCTAAACCCTAAACCCAGAGACAGTCTCGAGCGGAAGCGTCGCTCTCGAGCAAACAGACAGGATGTCTCGTGCGGGAGCCTTTGTGTGTGAGTGAACCGCAAGGAAAATGTCGAACGGGAGCCTCTCCCTATTGGGGTCCTCACCTCACGTTGGTAATCCGAGTAGGTCTTCCCATGTGAAAATACATGTTTGGTGACACCTGGCAGCCTGAATCCCGAGGAAGTCTAGAGTGGGAGCGTCGTTCCTGAGCAAACCAAAAGGATGTCTCGGGCGCTCACTCGTCTGTGAGAGCATTGCGAGGACGCCTCGAGCGGGAGACCTTCCCTATGGCGTCCCCACCTCATGTTGGTAATCCAGGGAGGCCATCGGAATACCATGCAAAACACATGTTTGGTGACATCTGGGAGCCTGAATCCCGAAGAAGTCTCGAGCGGGAGCCTCGCTCCCGAGCAAACTGAAGGGACATCTCAGGCGGGAGCCTCGTCTGAATGTGACTTGCGAGGACGTTTCGAGCCGGAGCCCCCTCCCTATGGCGTATGGGGTCCCCGCCTCGCGTTGCTAATCCGAGGCGGCCATCGGGACACGGGGAGCCCGAATCCCGAGGACACGGGGAGCCCGAATCCCGAGCACATTGACAAGACGTCTCGGGCGCTCGCCTGTAAGTGAATCGCGAGGGAGGCTCGATCGGGAGCCCCTCCCTACGGGCGCCCCGATTCGCGTTATTCATCCGAGGCGGCCATCGGGATCCCTTGTAAAATCACAGGTTGGTGACACCTGGGGTCTGACTCTTCAGACAATATCGAGCGGGAGCCTCGTTCCTTTGTCAGGCGTCCTTTGTAATCCGAGGCGGCCATCCTCAGTCAAGCTTGTAAGCGTCGGCAAGGACCAGCCGATACCAGACGGGAAGAGAACCTCCTTAGTCAAAGGGATGACGATTAATCTTACTCTCAGATTAGTTGAGAAGATTATGTTTAAGTGTTCCCTCAAGAAATTCCACACCGGCTAGGGAAGTACATCGCCCAATGGTTTGGCCAAGCTTTCACCCAACGTTTGTCCATGCAGGCGTTTCCCAAAGGCAGGGGGTGGCGATTGTTCGCCGTAAGTGTCTTCGATACTCATGCACAGATTTTTCGTGTCCACGTCTCCTTGGACCTGAACTTCACACAGTGGTCCGAACGATCATTCGCGTGGCCTCGTCGACGTCGCGAGAATGGACCGCTGGAGACCTCACCTGAGATCTGCTTCGATTACGCCGCGCGCGCTGTAATGAATGCCCTGCCTGTCCCTTCTGTTGCTCGCCCGCCTTCCACTATTCTAATTGTTCCAACACTGGGAACCCAACCAGCAAAGAAGTACAGAGAAGCAAGACAAGTCATAAGACGGCCGCATGGCACCAGCGCCTTCGCCTCGTTTGTTTCTCTTCGCCTGCACAGCGGTTGCAAGAGCCAACCGTGCGTCCAGGTCGGGGCAATACGACAACATAGCCAAGCGAATGACGCTGAACGGCTCAGGTCAAAAACAACACAGCACATGGCGCAAGCGGTGTGTCTCGACGGACATGGCCTGTCTAGTATCTACCATCAGTGGGCGGTTAGAGAACGAGGAAATGTCGTCTATGCTCAATGGGAGGGTATCTGTGAACTCGAAGCTGTAAACATAACGAACTCAGCTTACTCTTGTCGCGACCTCATACACATCCAGAACACCACGTACGAACTTTCTGCCAAGAGCAAAAACCGTTGCAAGGAATCGACACGCGTGGATTTAAATCGATACAAAGTCAATTAGCCTTGCGAAGGGCCCAACCATATGATATTGTGAGTACCGTCTTTGTGAGCAACGCATTCGGTGGAGCTCCCTATGGGGCCACGAAGCGCTGTGCTGGGTGTGGCGGATGCATGCCCCCCCCACTGGGGCCTTTGGTGGAGCTCCCTATGGGGCCACGAAACGCTGTGCTGGGTGTGGCGGACGCATGCGCCCCCCTCCACTGGGGCCTTCGGTGGAGCTCCCTATGGGGCCACGAAACGCCGTGCTGGGTGTGGCGGACGCATGCGCCCCCCCCCCCCACTGGGACCTTCGGTGGAGTTCCCTATGGGGCCACGAAACGCTGTGCTGGGTGTGGCGGACGCATGCGCCCCCCCCACTGGGGCCTTCGGTGGAGCTCCCTATGGGGCCACGAAACGCTGTGCTGGGTGTGGCGGACGCATGCGCCCCCCCCCCACTGGGGCCTTCGGTGGAGCTCCCTATGGGGCCACGAAGCGCTGTGCTGGGTGTGGCGGACGCATGCGCCCCCCCACTGGGGCCTTCGGTGGAGCTCCCTATGGGGCCACGAAGCGCCGTGGAGGGTGTGTCCGAAGCGCTGTGCTGGGTGTGGCGGACGCATGCGCCCCTCCCCACTGGGGCCGTCGGTGGAGCTCCCTATGGTGCCACGAAGCGCTGTGCTGGGTGTGGCGGACGCATGCGCCCCCCTCCACTGGGGCCTTCGGTGGAGCTCCCTATGGGGTCACGAAGCGCCGTGCTGGGTGTGGCGGACGCATGCGCCCCCCCCCCCACTGGGGCCTTCGGTGGAGCTCCCTATGGGGCCACGAAACGCTGTGCTGGGTGTGGCGGACGCATGCGCCCTTTCCCACTGGGGCCTTCGGTGGAGCTCCCTATGGGGCCACGAAGCGCTGTGCTGGGTGTGGCGGACGCATGCGCCCCCTCACTGGGGCGTTCGGTGGAGCTCCCTATGGGGCCACGAAACGCTGTGCTGGGTGTGGCGGACGCATGCGCCCCCCTCCACTGGGGCTTTCGGTGGAGCTCCCCATGGGGCCACGAAACGCTGTGCTGGGTGTGGCGGACGCATGCGGGTTGTGCCGCTGGGACCTTCGGTGGAGCTCCCTATGGGGCTACGAAACGTGTGAGAGGTGTGCCGAGAGCAAAGGCAAGGAGGTGGAGGAGGGAGGAGGGGGAGGAGGGAGGAGGGAGGAGGGAGGAGGGGGAGGAGGAAAGAAGGAAGGAGAGACGCGGGGCACCGTCTCTTCAAAATGAGGACCCAACACCACAGGATGGTTGGGAAAAACACGCCCGCTGTAGAACGTACGGCAGACCATTCTACGTGGACACGTCCCATGCGTGGAACATACTCGTGCAGCACAGTGCCCGATGTGACCGCGTACAATGATTCAAGCACAATCAATTCATGCTCGTCGGATTTGTGGAGCACTTCAGGCAAACCCCATCATGCCAATGTCATGGACGCTCCTGGCGACCAACTTGCGATTTCAATTCATGTCGTCACCATGCAGAGACGCTGCCGTGTAGTATCGGCCACCGTGCCATAGGCACTGAGTGGTGTGTCCTCAAATTATTTCGGATTCCCTGTGTTGAAAAAAAAGTAGATGCTCCTTGAAGGGCCTAAGGCCCGGATTCACGGGCGCTCTCTGGCGCTTCCGGGGCATGTCGCGTGACTTCTCTAGAGGTCTCGGGAGCGCGGTTGGGATTGCATACTTCCGCCATTGTTTCATATGGTCGTATGGCCCTTCCTGGAGCCCTCTTGGGCGCTTCTTGCGCCGCCTTGAAGGTCCTGGGGGCCGGCATTGAAAACCCGTTGGTCTTTTCAACAGGCCTCCGAGGTCGCCCCAGGACAGCCCGCGAGGCCCCCAAGAGGGCCCAGGGGGCCCCCAAGACGGCCCCAAAAGTGGCCACGCACTGCCACAAGATGGCCTCGAGACCATCAGCAGACCCCAAGAGACCCCCCATGAGATCTTCAAGAGGCCTCCAGGAGCTCCCCAAGAGGCCCCCCCCACAAGGCCTCCCAAGAGACATGCAAGAGGTCCCTGGTCCACAACCCGGGCACAGTGGCAGGTTGGGCCGAAGGCCACTAGATCCGCCGCCCGCTGTGCTTGCCACAGGGGTGTACGGCGCGCGGGAGGAGGGAGGAGGGATGAGGAGCGGGAGGAGGAGGAGGAAGAGGAGGAGGAGGAGGAGGAGGAGGAGGAGGAGGAGGAGGAGGAGGAGGAGGAGGGAGGAGGACGAGGAGGAGGAGGAGGAGGAGGTTAGGAAATTGTTGGTCCTTTCAAGGGCTCCCAGATGGGCCTTCGGCCGATCGCGCCGGCTCCCCAGAAGGAAGCATCAACGCCTCTGCCGTCGGTGCTCTCTCCCCAGAAGGACCCGTACTCCAGATTTCACAATAAAGGGAGGGGGGTCTCATTTCGGGGGGGGGGTCCCTTCCAGGGTATCTTGGAGGGCCTGGGGGGTCTGGGGACGATGTTTTGGAGGGTTCTCCCACGGGGGAGGTCTGAAATGGCTTGTCTTGGAGGGTCCAGACCCCCTCCCTTTTATTACGAAATCTGGAGTAAACTTCCCGACTCATCGGTCTTCCCGCTCCGGACGGCCCCAAGATGGCATCCAAGACGGCCCGATGGTCTCCGCGACGGCTACGATGGCACCAAGAGAGTTCAGCATGGCCCCGATATGTTTCGGAGGCGGGCCGAGATGCCCGCAATGCGCCCTGAGGACGGCCCCAGATGGCCTCACGATCGCCCAGGATGGCTCAAGAGGCCTCCGAGACAGCAAGAGGACCTCCAGGAAGGCCCGAAGAGGCCAACAGCACTGATTTTCCTTGGGCTTCATGCAAGCGGATTCTAGCGTTTGGGGATTGTCGGCTTTCTGAATGACCAAGACTACCCCAGAGGCCACCTGGATGGTCCCAAGAGCGCCCAAGACGACCCCAAGACGGCCCAAGAGACTTACAAGACGCCCAAGATGGCCTCCGAGACGGCCCTGAAGCGCTCCAAGAGAAACCCAAGTCGGCCCAGAGAGGCCTCCAAGACGGCTTCAGGAACGCCCTCAGACGGCCAATGTCCCCAAGAGGCTCAATGAAGCTCCTAGGAAGTTCCTGGGAAGCCCCATGAGTGCCCCAAGAGGCCTCCTACTCCGCCTCCTTTTCCCTCTCTCTTTCCTTCTCTTCTTCTGTCTTCTCCACGTGTTCCCCGAAGGGTTTCCACAACGGCTGGGGGAGCACAAACATCGATACTTTGGCCGAGCTCTGGCCGCAGCGTTCGGTCACGTGGGCGCTTTCTCAAAGCAGGGGGCGGCGGTGATTCGCCGTAGGCGTCTTGGGTTCGCCGCCCCCTGGTGCTTGCAAGAAGGGGTTGCTGGTGCACGATTTCCCCCAGGGGCCGTAGGCGACCCGAGGAGGAGGAGGAGGAGGAGGAGGAGGAGGAGGAGGAGGAGGAGGAGGAGGAGGAGGTGGAGGAGGAGGAGGAGGTGATGGAGGAGGGAGAGGGGGAGGAGGGGATGGAGGAGGAGGAGGAGGAGGAGGAGGGAGGAGGATGAGGAGGATGAGGAGAAGGAGGAGGAGGAGGAGGAGGAGGAGGAGGAGGAGGAGGAGGAGGAGGAGGGGGAGAAGGAGGAGAAGGAGGAGGAGGAGGAGGAGGAGGAGGAGCCCAGGTCGCCTAAGCCCTTCGGAGAAACCCTCTAGTTGCTGGCGTGCCAAACCATGTCGTTTGAACACGTCCGGATGATTCCCAATTGGGCTTCGGCCGCTCCCGCCGGCAACTCGTAAAAGGCGGGAGGCAAGGGCTTTTTCACCCGCAAGATGGGCTCAACGATGCTTCCACTATGGCCGAGATTGCCTTTTTAAGACAAAACAGGGCATCAAAACGGCGCACTAGGCTCCCAAGACGCCCCAAGAGGGGCTCACGAGACCCTCAAGGAGAGCCCGAACAAGCCAACATCACTGATTTCCTCGGGGCTTTTCGATCGTTTTCTAGTTCTCATCTTTCGGGCTTCCGACAACCGAAGAGGGCCCCTGATGCCTCCAAGATAACGCCAAGACAGCCTAGGGCCACCTGAGACAAGCCAATGTGACCCCAAAGCGTCCCAAAACGACTCCGCAGACCTTGAAGACGGCCCTGAAGCGCCCAAAGACGGCCCTCCAAGATGGCCTCCGAAGGGCCAAGAGGCCCCTTCGAGGCCCCCAGGGGTCCTCAAGAGGCCCCGAAGAGGCTCCTGAGAGGTCCCCAGGAGGATCACATGAAGCCCCCAAGAGGCCAAACGAGGGCCCCGAGAGGCCTCACTATCCTTCTTCTTCTCCTCCTCCTCCTCCTCCTACTGCATCTTCTCTTTCCTCTCCTCCTCCACTCTCTTCCTTGCCTAGATTCCCCTGCAAAGGTTTGAACCACGGACGGGGGGGCACACTGTTCAACCGCTTGGCTAAGCTTTGGCCCAGCGTTTGGCCACATCGGCATTTTCCTGAGAAGGGAGCGGGCGGCGGTGTTTCGCCGTAGGCGTGTCGATATCATAGCATTGACGCAAATCGCACCCCATGTCGAATCGCATCTGGGGAGGAGGAGGAGGAACACGAATGATGGCAGGGTGGAACAACATGATACAACAATATCTCCCATGCTATGTTTCCAATGATTAGAAACAGCGGCTGCCTGCTTGTTGGTTCCGAATGACTCGGGGCCCCTGTATTCCTCGTCGCCCTTGTCGAAATCGTCCCAGCTCTGCTTCGGCTTGCTGTTTGCGTCTCCCATGTCGGCATCTTCCTCATGAGGTGGAGGGAAGAGGCGGGATGACGGAACGAGCATATGCAGCATGCGCACACACTATAATGCAATGTGGCCCAAGTGCGCTTATGCAACACCCAATCGGCGGTATCGATCTCCACTTTACCCCCCCAACGACTCTGTTGTCCTTCTGGCTCACCACCCACCTCCTGCTGCTGTTGATCCTCCTCCTCCGCCCTTGCCTCCGCCTCCTCCCATTCCCACTCCCATCTTCTTTCCTGCCCACAACTTCGCTCCCGCACACATTTTTTACACTTGCAGGCGCCAGTCTAGCTGGCGCCGAACGGCCCCAAGTCTCAGGCAGCGCGGCCCGCGCTGGCGGGGCAGGCCAGAAGTGCCGCAGGGAGGACAACATGATCGCTCGACGCCGATCGTGGAAGCACCAGGCCACTTGAACGCATGATTGAAAGTCCGAGCAGGCTCAGACAGCACACGCCACCCTTGGCCGACCTGAGAGAGGGGGGGAGCGGGCAGGATTGTGATGAGGAGACAAGGAGGAGGAGAAAGTAGGACATGACGAGGAATTGCATGAGTGGAGCAGGAGGAGAAGGAGAAGGAGAAGGAGGAGGAGGAGGAGGAGGAGGAGGAGGAGGAGGAGGAGGAGGAGGAGCACGCGTGACCTTGGCGAACGTACCCTGGTTAACTTGTGTGAAGAAATGCACAAGGCGATTGGCGGAGGAGGAGGGGGAAGAGCAGGAAAAGGAGGAGGAGGATCAGGAGGAGGAGGAGGACGAAGGGAGGCAGGAGAAGGAGAAGGAGGACGAGGACAAGGAGGAGGAAAACGAAAAGGACAAGGAGACGGAGGAGGAGGAGGAGGAAGAAGAGGAGGACGAGCTGAAGGAGCAGCAGGAGCAGGATGATGATAATGATGATGACGAGGAAGAGAATGAGGCGGAGGAAGGCTAGTGTAAACCCAAGAGTCATACACGATACTGCGATAAACAATCCCTCCATGTTCCCTCTTCCGGAATCCCAACCAAAGATACATTTCCATGGATGCACCGTTGGAAAACAAACGTTCAAGATCCGGAACTGTACCCAAACACCACTCCTGGGACTTCAATGCGGCGAATCACCGTTACTGTTGCCTCTCGACGATCCTGAATCGTGCCAGACCGCCCTTCCTGGGACTTCCGCGCCGCGAATCACGTGACTGTTGCGCGCGGAGCTTCCGACATCGTGCCCAAACACCGTGCCCGGGACGCTGATCCTGAGAGTCCGTGGAAACGACTGCAGGATCCGAGAGCGAATGTGCGCGGCGCGACTGCGAGAACCACGCTTTGCAAACGAGCCGCCCTCCCTCTGTGAAGCTCCTGCACTTTTCAGGACGGCTGTGCGCGTGGCGCTCCGGCGAGAACCACACGGTGGAAGCGGCCTGGCCTCCACCCGTGAAGCTCCTTCAGACGCGATACAACGACTGTGCGCGGCACCAGCGCGAGAACCAAACAGCTTGCTGAACGGGGTGCTGTTGTGATAGAAGCTAACTCCGGCCGAGGGAAACGGGAGCAAAGACATCCTCACAAAAATCTGATCATGGTCTAAAAAGCGTCCAAGACGCCCCCAGAGACCTCCAAGCTCAGTCGCGCTGGCAGGCGGGGTCCGGGCCCAGACCCTGTGGGGTCGGAAGAGGTGCCCTCCCTAAAATGGCGGCCGGCGCCGCCTCGTTCGGCGGCGGGGATCCGCGAAAGTCGGCCACCCTCCATCCGTGAAGCGCCTGCGGGTTTTTCGGTCGAGTGTGCGCGGCGCTGAAGCGACCGCCGCATTTTGAAAACGGACCGCCCTCCATCCGTGAAGCTCCTGCACATTCTGAAAACGAAGGCGTGCGGCGCTGAAGCGAGAGCCACATGTACAAAACGGACCGTCCCCTATCTTGGGGTCATACGGGCGCATGCCCCCAATATCATGAATCGTGAGGAACTCTCAAGCGAAACGCCCGGCCCGCCCTTTCGACCGGCCTCGGGGTGCGACAAGGAAGAAGTATTCATCAGAGTGAGGGAGCCGACTGGCCATTCACTGTCCCTGGGCGCGTGGCTGAGTTGCGGTTTTGCCGTGCGGATTGTTATTGGTGTTGTTGCTGCTGCTGCTGTTGTTTTGGTTTTTGTTGTTCTTGTTGTTGTAGTTGTGGAATTCTCATTTATAACGAATAATTGTTGTTGATCTCCCCCGTCCTCCTTCCGGAGATCGCATCCTGTTTTTTACAAAAGACGATGTGGGGTCACCAAATTGGGCCCTTGGCCCCCGAATTGCAACAACAACGGCTCCCCCGCCTGATACTTCCCCACAATTTATTCCCCAAACGCGCTCTCGCGTAGGACTTCCTTACAATTCATACAGGAATCGCGCTCTCGCGTGGGACTTCCTCGCAATTTACTCAGACGCCGCGCCCTCGACACTCAGCAATCACGCTCTCGTTGTGGATTTCCGGATGATTTATTTGGGAATCGCGCTATCGCAAAAGACTCCCTCGCGATTCATGCAG